TGAAGGGGACTGCATATTACCTTGAGGACTCTGAGTCTCCTTTGCAGACAGCAGCGTAGGAGTCTACATGGAAATAAACGGGCCTATATTCTTGGATGTTCGAAGAGTTCACAGGAAAGACTGCAGTATGAACTTCTACTTGCCTTCCAAAATCTTGCCCTTTAATAAAGAAATCCTGACTTAGCTTAGTCGCATTGCTGCTGAACTAGAAATCAACATTCCTGTCTTCTTTGCCATGAGGTGTGACCAGGTAATTCAATTCTGGCCAAGGTGATAAAAGCAGTTGCAAAGAACCTTCTGAAAATCTCTATAAGCCAGGACTCCTTGCATTTCTCCATTCTGCTGATTTGGATATGTGGCATTTTGAATAGTGAGGATCATGGAGATCACGGAGAAGCAGGTTGGTGTCACGGAGGTGTTAGACATCCCAGACTGCCTACCTTGGGGTTAATTTTTACTGTAAGAGAACAAAGTTCAGTTTTACTTAGGGCACTGCCTCTTTGGATTTTTCTGATATGAAGCTGAATGTTTTTATGGTAGACATGATCTGCATGGGCGATGTGGCCAACGGAATGATTTAGTGGTGAAGATTTGAGGTCTGGTCTGTTGCTCAACCAGCCCGTCTCAGGGGATGTTGAAAAACAATACTTAGGTTATACTTCTTTCAGCTGCGGAAATAGGCAGGGTTATTCGGAATTAGGATGCAAGCCTGGTAGATTTTTAGCATTGGAGAAAAGCCCATAATATTTTACCCAGTTGAGATGACGCTAAACTGCCCATGCCTTCCAGGAGATGGTTTTGTGCCTGCTACAGGCAGAAACAGAGAAGAGAACTAGAGGTGACAGTTTGGATAGGAGCAGCTCTGTCGCTTGCACTCTCTTTTCTAACTCAGTGTCCGTAGTTGGAAAGAAGTGGTTTTATTTGTCTGATTGCTTAGAAAAAGGACTCATCTGTAAAGTAGTCAAATTTAATATCTCACTCAGTTCAGCAGGTCTTTAATTTTCCAGGGGCCTACATCGGGCTTCTCAACCTCAGCCCTCTGGCATTTTGTATCACATACTTCTGAGTGGTGTGCTGGCCTGTGTGTTGCGGGATGTTCAACAGTGTTCATGGCCTCTATTCTCTATTCCCGCAACAACGCCCTTTGCCCCAGTGCAACCGTGAAAATGGCCCTGGGCATCTTCAAGCCTTCTTGTGGGGTGGACGTTTGCTGCAGCTGAGACCCTGCCTCAACACGAGCCTCAGTGCAGATTTCCTGTTGGCCCACAGGGCTCTGAGTCTGTCGTTAGCTGGTATGCTCTGTGTGCAGAGATGATGTCTCCAGCTGGCACAAGACCAAGGTGTGATGTAGATGGCCACATTCAACAGACAAGAAAGCAAATAACTCTTGTATGTAACCTTCCTGTTTCCTTTCTATCAGGAATCTGGTGTGTTTTAATATGTCTGTGGGGTAAACAGATACCCAATATTTAGTGTTACTTTGGGTATAAATGGCATCACAGCATAAGAAATTATTTGTAGCACTTGTGGCATTTTCAGAAAGCACTCTGCTATGTGAAATGGATGTCCCAAGGACTGTCTTAACCACCACACCAAATGTCTACCACCTTCCTCACTTTTTAAAGAGAAATACTATGCAGCAGAATACCAAAGCCTCCTGCTCCTATCTAATTATAACTTAGTACCCAATAATCAACCTTGCTCCATCTCTCCCCTCCAATGTTTTATACAAACATCTGTTTTTCAAGACTTTCTTGAGACTTCTGGGGACTGACTTTTGTGGCACAGTGAGTTCAGACACCAACTGTGACACCTGCATCTTGTATGGGTGCCAGTCCGAGTCCCAAATGCTCCACTGCCAGTTCAGCTACCTGCTAATGCTCTTGGTAAGGCAGCAGAGGATGACTCAAGGGTGTAGGCCCTTCCTGAACCCATGTGATCAAGAAAGATGGAGTTCCTGGATCCCGGCTTCAGTCTGGTCCAGTTGTATTCATTGTGGTTGTTTGGACAGGGCATCAGCAGGTGGAAAATCTGTCATCTCCCTTCTCTGTATGTCTTTCGAAACAATTTTTAAAATGTGTTTATTTTTACTTGAAAGAGGCAGAGAGAAAGAGCGAGAGCAAGAGAGGGAGAATCTTCCTTCTACTGGTTCGTTCCCCAAATGGTCACTAGCACACCAACAGCCAGAGCTGGGCCAGTCTGAAGCCAGGAGCCAGGAGCTTCTGCCAGATCTCTTGTGTTTGTGTAGGGGTCCAAAGAACTGGGCCATCCTCTGCTGTTTTTCCAGGCCATTAGCAGGGAGATGGGCAGGAAGTGGAGCAGCTGAACTTTAGTCAGTGCCCTATGGGATGCTGGTGCTATAGGTACAGGACTAATTTGCTATATCACCACATTGGTCCCACAGATATTTTTTTTTTCTTTTAAAAACACTTCTTGGATGGAAATCTCAAAAATACTTCCACAAGCTAGGAATTATTTGCTATTTACAGGTGGAAAACCGAGAGTTAAGGCTGTGACTTGTGCAAACAGCAACGGCAGTGAAAACAAGAGAGCCAGGCCTTAGGCCCTCGCTGTTTGCTGGAGACAGAGTGAACTTCCCAGCGGTTAGCTGCACGCGTGGGTCATGCCTCGTGTCTCCGGACTGCGTCCTTACTGTGCGGGTTTCATCTCTCTGGAGAAATGGATTCCTGTCGCAGTGAGATTCTCTCTGCTGCTGCCCTCTTTTCCACTGGAAGTAGAGCCGGTGGCATGGGGCAGAAGAAAGGGTAGCGAGGAGTCCAAGGCAGTCATTATTCCCACATTTGTATCATGTTGTTGCCTTTCTTTCTGATTTATAAGATGGTATTGTAATGCAGAACTGCGACATCTTTTTCTGTTGGAAACAGTTCTCCATGTTTGTTATTTCCCCTTTTAGCTTTATCTGTGACATTCCTGGACTTTGACATTTGCCCTTGGGTCAGTTAATCTGGTAATCCACCCTCCATTGTTTCTTCTGTTACTTTTATGCTTGGGAAGTCTTTTCTTCCTTCAGATGACTTAGGGTCTCATGTAACTTCCTTTAGAAAAACTTTCCAAGTTTCTTTTTTAAGAAGATGTATTTATTTGAAAAGCTGAGTAGAGTGAGTGAGTTAGAGGTTGGTTCACTCCGCAGATGGCTGCAATGGCCAGGACCAGGCCAGGCTGAAGCCAGGTCCCTGGAACTCCATCTTCATCTCCAACATGGGTGCAGGAGCCCAAGTTCTTGGGCCATCCTCTGTGGCATTCCCAGGTGCATCAGTGGTGAGCTGGGTAGGAAGTGGAGCAGTCCGGACTCGAACCAGTAATGCTCGTATAGCATGCTGGCATCATGGGCTGTGCCACCAAACTGGGGCTCCTCAAAAGTTTTGGTTTTTTGTTTTCTGCTTTTTCACTGTATTAACAAGATTTTTTTAATGAACTTTTCTTTCAGACAGCACAAAAGAGTTTAGTGTGAAAAATATAGCTTTGTTTCTTTCCTATCACCACCTATCTCCACCTTGCTGGGATGCTCAGTGTGTTGTGGGATATTCTCCTGGACGTGGCACTTAAGCAGAAACCACAGCCACCTGTAGAGTCAACGTGGCATGACCCACAACTGAGGCCTGCTGGCTTCCATTTCTCTCCACTGCTGAGGGAGTTGCTAGGTGATGCTGCAGACTTTCCCAGAAGGCCACCAAACCGGCCCTGCCACCAGTTCCCCTCCACCCACACTGACCTATATAAGCAGAAAAGCAGAACAGCGCTGGGAGGATTCTCCAGAGCAGGTGACCCTCAGCCCCAGGCCAGGGTTTCTCATCTGTGCTCAGCAGTTCAGGGTAGAATCTGGAGTGACCATGAAGGGCAGTGGGAAAGTATGCCACTCTTATTTTCCCTATGTTCTAATGGGAACAGAGCGCTTCCTTCTATTACCAAAGTAGGCAGCGAACCATAATGGTGTTAGCAGTGGCTGTAACTTGGTCACCAAATGAGAGACTGGAGGTGTTGTTCTATCACAGTTGTTAGGGGCATGCCTTTGTCATCACCTGGACATGTCTGCTCCCTCATTTAGAATGTGTAGAGCCATCTGTGTAAGATAGGTCAGACACAGATACTATACAATCTCACTGAAAGCAGTCAAGTGCATTGGGGCCCAGAGTGGACTGGTGGTGGCGGTGGCCAGGGGTTGGGGGAAGGAGGGAATGGGGAGAAGTAGACTCAAGGTTGCAAAGTCTCAGGTGTGAAGGCCCTGATGCCTAGAGTGTGACTCCAGGTATAGCTGCTGCTGCTGCTTTGTCCACTTGACATTGACCGAGAGGGCAGCTCCTGTGGGAGGCGAGGGTCTCTTCACATCACAGGTGGTGCCATTTTTCTCCAAACCTATTCAGATGTCTTTGTTAAGCACCTGCAGCTTTTTGTCCTCCCAGCAGTGCAGACTATCTCGGCACGATAACCTGCTCTTCTCTTCTTCATATGTATATATTTGAAAAGCAGGATCATAGAGAGAGAGCTGGAGAGACAGAGAGAGAGATCTTCCATCCACTGGTTGATTCTCCAAAGGGTTGCCATGACTGGAAAAGCTGGGCTGGTCCATAGAGAGGAGCCAGTGCTTCTTCCAGGTCTCCCACACAGGTGTAAGGACCCAAGGACTTGGGCCATCTTTTTTTGGCTTTCTGGGTGCATTGGCAGGGAGCTGGATGGGAAGTGTAGTCACGGGGACTTGAACTAGTGCCCAAATGGAGTGTTGGCACCATAGGCAGCAGGCAGCTTCAATCCACTACCCAGTGTCAGTCCTGCTCCTTATAAGATGTTATAAACACAGCTTATATCCCAGAGAAGTAAAGAAATAAGTAAGAAGGTTTCATTGTTTTTAAAGACTCTATAATTTTTTATTCCTACGGGGACCAGTTTTGTCAGGGAATAGGGCCACATTTGCTTGTCCCCCTGAAATTGGCCTGGGTTGTGGCCGCACACCTACCTGGCAGGGCTCTGCGGAAGGGTGTTGGCATTCCCCTTCCAGCGTGGAGGGCTGGTCGTCATGAGGCTGGCTGCAGCTCAGGCCCTGGAGAGGTACAAGAAAGGAGAGCAGGTTGAGTGACCCTGGCTGACACCCAGTGAGTGCTGGGAGAGGGAAGCCTGGCTCCTGATCCCCTCAGGACCTGGTGTGAGCTGAGCGCCCTGATGTTGGGCCACATACCCTGGACAAGAGTGGGAGAATGTCTCCCTAGGGTGGCTGAGGTCCATGGCCCAGGGTGGGAGGGGTTGCCCTGTTGCTTACCTGCCACTCTGCAGGGCTGGGGCACACACATTGTAACACATTTCTCAGCTGCAACTCCCACCCACCATCTCTACCTCCTTGCACCAAATCCATATTCCCGATCTGCGGTCTCTACCTTTCTCCCAGGCCTGTACCATAGTCCCTTCTCTGTCTGTCTTTCCTCCTCTGTTCTCAGCTGACATTCTCCTATCCCGACTCTCCAGTTTGCGTGCTGTTTATTGTTAGATAACATCTCCCAGTGTTTTTTTTCCCCCAGTCCTTCCTCTACTTTGAAACTCACAATTCAAGGTATTCTAAGAATTTTCTTCCCATTTAAAAAAATCAAGTCCATATATATCTTGAAGTTATTTTACAGTTAAATTTTTATTGTGTGATATTTTATACTTACAAGAGGATACAGAATAAAAGGGACTTCAGGTTCAAATCAACCCAAAGCAATGAAGCGTCACTGACTTCCTGCCTCCTCTACAAGTTGCTTCTACATAGATTTTTCTTACATGTTAATTCTTCAGGAGGTCATTTTCCAAAAGACATTAAAAAAAGATTTATTTATTTGAGAGGCTGATGCTACGATGTAGGAAGTTAGGCCTCTGCCTGGGGTGCTTGCATCCTATATGGGTGCCGATTCGAGACCAGGCTGCTCCACTTCCCTTCTAGCTGTCTGCTTATGACTTGGGAAAGCAGCAGGGAATGACCCAAGTCCTTGGGCCCTTGCCCCTGCATGGGAGACCTGGAAGAAGCTCCTGACTCCTGGCTTTGGATCAGCTCAGTTCTGGCCATTGCAGCTGTTCAAATATATATATAAGTATTCACCTATGCTTTTATTGTGGTGACCTCCTTTGAAAGTCATGCTGGTGATTTAGTTTAATGCACTAGCACCCTTCAGTACTGTAAGAATCTCTATGTTAAGTACTCACAAAATGAAACGAGGGTTGGAGCTCTGTGATGTATGTGAGGACTTGCTGTGGATACGATCAGAAGGCCTGAATGACCTACAGGATTTACTAGAAGCTGTGTCTTGGAAAAGAATGTATTGCCCAACATTCCCTGCCCCACACCACCAGCAAGGCAGTGTTCACGCTGCAGCTGGACGGACTATGGTGTTCAGGCTTGACTACCAGGATGCGATGACCTACAGAATCCTATTCTGTGTCCAAAGTCTGCAGACTTGCACGGAAGCAGAAAGCACTGGTGTTGCTTAGTAATGTTGTCACACCAAGGGTTGGCATGGCATGATGGCTCAGCAGGCTAATCCTCTGACCTTGGGCTGGCACCACATATGGGCATTGGTTCGTATCCCAGCTGCTCTACTTTCAGTCTAGCTCTCTGCTAATGGCTTGGGAGAGCAGCAAAATATGGTCTAAGTCCTTGGACCCCTGCACATCCATGTGGGAAGTCCAAAAGGAGCTCCTGGCTTTCAGGATCGGGTCAGCAGAGCTCTGGCCATTGTGGCCATTTGAGGAGTGATGTAATGATGGAAGACTTCCTTTCTCCAGTCCTTTTATGTAAAATTGCCTTTCAAATACAAATATTTTTAAAAGATGCTATCATGCTAAGTAGACACATTTGACATGAAGAAGCAATTCTTGTAGTATATGAAGAACTAAACAGAAGAATGGCAATGCAGAGTATATATAGAATGGGAAGGGGGCAGGGTGAGACTTTAAACTGCAGTTGCAAGAAAATAGAGAATACAGAACTTCCTTGTGATATTCAGAGAATACACAGCTGGCATGTGATGCACTGGGTTAAGCCAACAGTCGAAATGCCAGCATCCTGGTTTGAGTTCTGGCTGTTCCACTTCCGACCTAGCTCCCTGCTGATGTGTCTGGGAGTGCTTCAGTGGACGGTTCCAGTAGTTGGAGCCACCTCCATGGGGTCCCAGATGGAGTTCCTCGCTCCTGGCTTTAGCCTGGCCCAGTCCTGGCTCTAGCGGCTTTCAGGGGAATGAGTCTGCAGATGAAAGATCTTTCTCTCTTCTTTCTTTCTCTGACTCGGCAGGATCACAGAGGGAGGGGCAGAGGGAATGCTGACTTGGGGAGGTGTTTGTAAATGCGTTTGGTTTTGTGCAGAGCGCCAATTTCTGACTTGGAGCCTTGATCCTCCCATAGGGTAGGGGAGCCCATGGGCACACACCCTGCCATGTTCTCCTCCCGAAAAACAGCCTGTGGTGGCCTTCATTTCCTACATGACAACTGCGCGTCCCCACGAGGCGTCCAAGCTCCCGTAGGCTGTGACTTCCCATTTCATTTCCAGTGTCACAGGCCAGGGACAGCAAGCGCTTGTACTCTTGGAGCAAATGCAGTAAGAGCCTGGGGCCCTGGCCCTCTGCCGGGCAGGTGCTTGCTTTGCTGATCCTGTCCAGCATTTTTTCTGCACAAGCATCACATCCCACCATCACCGCCTCCATGGAACAGTCCTTCCCAGGGTCTTATGGCCCAGTGGACAGCTCCTTTCTCTGTCCTCTCCTAGAGGCGTGCCTTGAATGGTGGCTTGTATTTATGTCTCTGCCTGCACTTCAGACTCTGAGCTCAGAGCAGAGGCCTAAGTCTTTTTTTTTCCCCACTTTTTGGCTTTTTGGTATCCTTTCTCTTCCATCCTATGGATACATGTGGGCTGAATTGGCTACCAATCACAGGCAAAGGAGCACCTATAAGAAACCTGTAATTCATGTCTTGTTGATATATATGTCTTGTATATTTGATTTAAGATTTATTTTTATTTGAAAGGAATAGTTATAGAGAGAAGGAGATGTGGCAGTCTGAAACCAGGAGCCAGGAGTCAGGAGCTTCCTCCAGGGCTCCCATTGAGCCAACACCTGTTGCTTCCCCAAGCTATTAGCACAGTGCCAGCTCCACATTTAAGAATACTGGCTAAGATACCAGTCTCCACATATCAGTGTGTTACCTGGGTTTGGTTTCTAGCTGTAGCTTCTGACCCCTACTTCTTCCTAGTACGGATGTTGGGAGGTACTAGTGAGGGCTGAAGCCACCGAGTTCCTGTTGGAACCTGGCCTGGCCCTGGCTAACACAGACATGCAGGGAAAGAACTGGCAGATGGAAGCACTGTGTGCAGAACTTTCCATCTGCTGGTTTATTTCATAAATGGCCAGCAGGCTAGAGCTGGGCTGTTCTGAAGCTGGGATCCAGGAGCCTCTTCCTGGGTGCAGGGGCCCAAAGACTTTGGACTATGCTCCATTCTCTCCCAGATCATAAACAGGGAGCTGGATTGGAAGTGGAGCATCTGGGACGTGAACCTGTGCCCAATGGGTTGCTGACACTGCATGCAGAAGATTAGCTTACTACTCCACGGTACCAGTACACAGCTATCTTCCCTGCTGGGCCAAATGCCTGCCCCAGGAACAAAACTTGAAAACGGACCAGCTAAGCCAGAAGACATCTGTTGCCAGTGCTAGAGTGACTCAGCTCTGTCTCCCCCGCAAATTCCTCTGCCTCACTGGGAGCATCAAATTCCATTGTTCAGTGGCAGAACCTTAGAAAAATGTTGCCTCTCATCTCTGAAATCTAGTTTGCCTCTGGCAGACACTCTGGACTTCAGGCCAGTGGCGCTGTGACGCCCACAACTCACTTGATCAGAATGGTGGTGGCTGGGGACACTTTGTCAGTACATTTCTCACAGCATCATCAGACAAAGGCATTTGCTGCAAGGAAATCGCCTGAAGACTTCAGAGTAGGAAGGCTGTGGGAGTTCTGAGGGAGGCTGGTGGCTTACCTGCAGTATCGGTGTCTCCCTTCTTTATCTAGCTGATGACTTATTTACAGTACACAAAAGGCTGAGTTCCAGAGAGAGGGAGAGACAGAGAGCTCTTCCAGTCACTGGTTTTACTCCTCAAATGGCTCACACTCAGGAGCCGGGTCTCCCACGTGGGTGTGCAGGAGCCTAAGCACCTGGGCACGCTTCTTTTTCCCAGGCCACAAGCAGGCAGCTGGGACTCCAACCCCTGCCTGTATGAGATGCCAGCACCACAGCTCACAGTGCCGGCCACACTCCTTCAAAAATAACAGCCCAAAAGAGGGATGGCTCCTTTTCTTTTTAGATGATGGGATTCTAATGAAGTGCTGAAGGATCTGCATGTAGGCATGGGAAGACGACAGATTCACTCCTGGATGTGACCAGTGATGCACCTGGGCAGGGGCACAGTTCCAGGCTGCCTGGGCTTTTGCTGTGCTGGAGCCGTGAAGAGGGTCTAGAAACTGGGATGTAGGTTTTGTCCCGTGGCACGGCTTGTGGGCTCTGGAATGTGTGTGGGTGAGGTGTGTGGAGTTGGCGGAGAAGGCAGAGCCGAAGCAGGCTTGAGGGATGGCTGAGCTGCCGGGTTCTTCGTGACCTTTGCTCTGTGCTGCGGGTCGCCACCCAGGACAATCTGGGGGAAATTCCAGGGGCAGGAACAAAGCGCTGCAGAGGGACCAGGACGCCTGTATTTGGAAAGAGGGAATTTACCAGGAGTTCGTGCATCTGCCCGCGTGATGGATAGAATGTGCTTGGCTGGGAGGCGAGGGGGCAAAGGAAATCCTAAGAGGGCAAGGCAGACCCAGGAAGAAAGGAGGACATGTTCCTGGGACTCGGACTGAGACCAAAGCAGGTGGATCTGAGTTTGTGCTCAGTTGCTGGAAAGGGAGGCGTTTAGATCCATCCTGAAGACACTGGCTGAGGTGCTAGCCGCCCACATCAGAATGCCTTTCCTGGCTTCCGATTGGCTTCTGCCTCTCACAGATGTTGAGAGGTGCTGATGAGGGCTCAGGTGACTGAACTCCCACTCCACCTCCTAGCCTCCGGTGTGGGAGACCTTGAGTTCCTGGGACCCTGCTGGGGGCCTGGCCTAGCTCTAGTTGGGGGAATGAACCAGTGTGTCTATCTGTCATGATGACTCTCAAATAAACAAGAATCAGAGTGAGTGAGATGGCTTGGAACTGAGTAGTCGAAGTCTCCTATAGCTGGTACCCCAAGCTGCTTTGCCTGTGGAACACACCATGTATTCACTTCACATAGCCTCCAGACCTCGAGCCCTGGCCTGGGAGAGGTTCAGAGATGCATCTGTGATATCGCTTGGCAGGAGAAATATTCTCAGGTCTCTTACTGAAGGCCACCTTGGCAGTTGAAGACTTCTGTCTGGAGGCTTGGTCAGATCCTTAATGGGCCTCCCGTGAAACTTGCTCGTACCCAGGACTCCTCATCAGAAGTGAGGGGGAGACAGTCCTTCCCTGGGCTCCCTGAATACCCTAATTACTAGGCTCCACTGTTACCCTCTTTTCCATTTTTTTAGGTCAGCCCCAAACCTACTTAGCAGCATCCTTGCAACAGGAATCACTGAAAATGCTCTAAGAACCAAGGCAGATGGAACAGAAAGACCCTGCCATGGAGACAGGCAAAGGGGAGGAAGGGAAGAAGCTGAGGCCACATGCATGAGGAGCACTTCTGACAGTCCATGGCCAAGGCCAAGGAAAGGAGCTGCTGGCTGGCAAAGGAGGGAAGACAGAGGCCCTGGCAGGGCAGCCTCCACCGAGCCACCAGGGACACTTGCTCCCTGGTGACTCAGTCTGTTGCTAATCACAAGCAAGCCAGATGACTTCTCCTGGGTGTGGCTCCAGATAAGAGAAGTAGCAGTCATGTCCTGGATGTGGGGTGATAAGGCCCCCAAGAAGAAAAACTTGTTAGGGTATTTTATATTAAAAAAATAAAACTTTATATATATAAATAATAAACATGGATTTCAAGTACAGCACTCCTCAGCAGTTTTGAGCAGGACCTGGTCAACCCACACAGGGAGGCGAGATACTTCCAAACTTCAAATGTGACAAAGGCTGGTAACACAGAGAGAGGCGCCAACAGGTCCCATACCACAAAGGAAACAAAAGCAGTCACGCCCCCACAGGTCCTCCTTTCAGCACTGGCTTTGCTCAGCCGCCCTCTCTGAGCCCAGAGTCCTCAGGTGGCAGCTAATTCTGCAGCAAACACTGTCTCTTACTCTGGTTGTGTGCCACCTGGGGGGCAGCTGGAAGCTGTCAGTGAAACTTCAGGAAAGAGAATCTACATCCTGCTCGGGACTCAGGCTAAACACAGTATCACATGGAGGTGCTTAAAACAATTTCCTTTCTTTTGGAAGCAGTGGGGGATGAAGGAATGAGGGCAGGATGGGAAGAGGAAAAGAAGCAAATAATACTGGGTCAGAAATCTGCAGAAGGCCTAGTGTTGTGACGCATGGGGCTAAGCTGCTACCTGCGTTGCTGGCATTCCACATGAGTTCTGGTTGGTGTTGCAGCTCGGTGGAAGAACGCCCAAGTGCTTGGGCCCCTGTCACTCATGTGAGAGACTCAGATGAAATTCCAGGCTTCTGATCTTGGCCTAGCCTAATCCTGACTGTTGTGGCCATTTGGGGAGTGAAACCTACGCCTGGAAGGTCTGTGTTTCTCCATCATTCTCTGTAAATCTGCCTTTCAAATAAATCCTAAACAAAAGAGAATTGTATAGAGATGATGGGGTACTGAATTAACTCATGCTCCTCATGGTAGGTGAGCTGGAACCTATGAGGGGCCATAGCTGCACATCTAATACATGGAGGGCCAGGAGCTCTCTCTCTCTCCTTTCTCTTCTCTCTCTCTCTCTCTTCTTTCCTGTGTTGAGGCCCACTAGGGTAAGGTAGAGAGGGCTGGGGTGGGAGGCCATGGGGCTGGAGAGTTTGCTTGTGGCAGGACTTCCGTGGACATCACAGCACTTCATGCTCTCAGCAAGCAGTGAGTTCCTTGGCATGGCCTTCACTTTGCAAAGAAATGAATGGAATGTGGAAGAAGGCTGTCAAAGTGCTCTAAAGGCAAGAAGCAGCCTTCATACCCCTTGACTGGTGGTCCAGTCAGACTGCCTGCTCCTGGGATGCTGTGATGGTGAGTGTAAGCGGGCTCAGCAGTATAAGACTGTCAGAATGTAATTGAATTTTAGGAAACAGCATTTTAACCACTAGGCTCAGCATGATGGTTCAATGGCCAAATTCTCACTTTATAAGTGCCTGGATCCCATATGGGTGCTGGTTCATGTCCCAGCTCCTCCACTTTCCTTCCAGTTTCCCAGTTATGGCCGGGAAAAGCAGTAGAGGATGGCCCAAAGCTTTGGGACCCTCCACCCACATGGGAGACCTGGAAGAAGCTCCTGGCTCTTGGTTTGGGATCAGCTCAACTCCAGCCATTGTTTCCATCTGGGGAGTGAACCAATGGATGGAAGATCTTTGCCTCTTCTCTCTGTAAATATGATCTGCTGTCCTAATAAAAATAAATAAATCTTTAAAAAATGTTTAAGCATTGAGCGTTGAACTTGTGATGGAGGGCCTGCCATGGCGGGGGCACTCTGAAGATCACATGACAATAACTTTTTGTTGCAAATTGAAGTTGCCATTCAGTGAGTCAGAAGTCGACTGTGTGTACAAGGCTACTTCAAAACGTTTGTGGGAGAAATGGCATTACGGTGAGTACAGAGGGTTAAGTGGTTGCCTATGATGCTGGCATCCCATAAAGGTGCCGCTTGGAGTCCTGACTGCTTTACTTCCAATCTAGCTTCCTACTGATGCACCTGCAAGGCAGTGCAAGAGGCTTGGGGCCCTGCCACTCATGTGGGAGACCTGGATGGAGTTCCTTGCTCCTGCTATCAGCCCAGCCCCAGCCATTGCACTCATGTAAGGAGTAGGCCAGTAGATGGAAAATTCTCTCTCTGTCTCTGTACCCATCTGTGTCACTCTGCTTTTGCAAATAAATAAGCAAATCTTTTAAAAAAATGTGAGAAATGGAATTGAAAGAGACGCTTATTTGGATGCAGAACAGTTTAAAATCCATAGATAATTTTCCACATGACATGCATTTGCTACAATTTTTGGAGACCTTTTGTAAATACAATTAAACTGTGCTTGGTAATTTGCTCATTTGTTTCTGCCTTTGAGCAGAACGAATGCATTTTGGAAAAGCAGGGAGGCATGCATCTCCCAAAAGAGTGTTGTTTTGGAGTGAAAGCAGGATGGGTAAATCCTGCGTGTAAGATGCTGAACAGCATCTTGTTGGGATTGTAAGAGGAGGAACAGGTGCAGGACTCTATAGCTAAAGCTCCATCTTGAGACTAGTGTAGGTAAATAGGATGGTGTAAATCATTTTATATTTATCATACAAACACCTTCTAAGCCTCAACTTCAATTAATTTGACAAGAGCTACAAGCAGGGCAGATCAGGAGGCAGAGAGAACTGTGTGTTGATTTCTAGGTTCCTTCACAGGACTCAGCTTAGGGCACTTGAGCGTCATCTCAGCGTGTGCCTACACTTTCCTTTAGGTTTCTTTCTTTCTTTTAAAATTTTTCTTTGAAGGATTTATTTATTTTGATTGGAAAGGCAGATTTACAGAGAGAAGAGACAGAAAGATCTTCCATCCACTGGTTCACTCCCCAAATGGCTGTAGCTGAGCTGATCCAAAGTCAGTAAACAGGAGCTTCTTCTGGGTCTCCTGCACGGGCGCAGGGTCCTAAGCCTTTTGGGCTGTCCTTCATTGCTTTCTCAGCCCATAACTAGGGAGCTGAATGAGAAGTGAAGCAGCCAGCACACGATGTGGTGCTAAGAGGTGGAGGATTAGTGAGTTGAGCCAATGTCCTGGCCTGACAGTTTCCTTCAGGTTTCACACAGCCAAGGGCAGGAGCCAGGCATCCATGTCCCTACACTGAGTCTCTTAAAGCCTTGAACTATGGCTAGGGATGCTGACAGATGCAGAATTCAACAATGGGCTCCCTTCTTGTCCTCCCAGTTGGATTTAGCCGATAGGAGGTACATTGGCCAACGTGGAAGGTGGAGAGCAGGCATAGCCTCCCCCGCTACGGGATTGGGCTGAATTCCAGTCAGGACAGCTTGGACTGCCTCTCAGGGGCTAGTGGTGTCCCACTGGTTGCTATCCCAAGATGTTACCCTGTGTTTTGGTGGTTTCCCTAGCTCTGCCACACCTCTGTAAATGGACTCTTTATGAAGTACTACTGGAAGTATCCAATTTGACCGTACTGTCTCATGCCTTGATCCTGATGGAATCCTGTTGTGCACTGCACTCCATATCAACATGGCATTCAGCAAAGGCCTCAGTGATGGTTCTGACGGTTTCATTCAGGCTCATGCTTAGGGGGAAACAGTTAGCCGAATTTCCAGATGTTGGTGTGGGGGTTCCCAGGATGAAGGGCTTTGTGTTTTAAAACAGGGACAGTCCTGGATAAAAGCAGAAGTTGGTCACTGCAGTGTATACTGTCTGCCCTTAAAGTTTTTGTGATTTTTTAAAAGTAATATTATCTTCCATTTCAAAAGATTTCTATGTCAAATCTAAGCTGAAGTTGTTTCCTTGAACGACGATAGAATATTTTCCATTTGGGATGAAATTTATGTCTGAAGGGATTTTTTTAAACAAAAAGACTTATTCGTTTGAAAGGCACAATTATAGTGGGACAGGAAGGGAGAAATTCCACCTGTTGGTTTATCCTGAAAAAGCATCACAACAGTCAGAGCTGGGCCACACTAAAGCCAGAAGCCTGGAACTACAAATGAGTCTCCTTTGGAGGTCAGAGGACCAAGTCTTGGGCCATCCTGTGCTGTTTGCCCAGACACATTAGCAGGGAACTGGATGGGAAGTGGAGCAGCCAGGATTTGAGCTGGAGCCCATATGGGATGCTGGCAAAGCATAACTTTGGCTCCTTAAGATAAAGTGCCATAAAGTGAACAGTGCCATACAGTGCTGGGTCAGTTCCGATATTCCCTCTCAAGGCAAGTTGCTCAAGCAGTGATTCTGACAGCAAGGAATGATGCACACACAGCATATTAGGGAATTTAGAATGAAGAAAGTGGACAGGGCATCTTTGCAAAATGGGCCTGTGTAATTAAATTGTTAATAATAAGAAGAGTTAAAATAAACACTTCTAGATTTTTGAAAAGATAGCTCCTGGTTTCCTAACCTTCCTGAATCCCATTATCCTGAAACAGAAAATGAGATTTAGGTATTAAGAGCCTACTTGTTGGCTTCATGTTAGTAAGCCCACCTGTTGGTGTTGTTTTGTGTCGCTAATTCCACTCGATGGTGGCTGCAACTCCGAAGAGGATCAATTGGAAGGAGAAGCAATCATTGCAGACAAAGCTAACATTTTAAGCAGAAATCCTGGTTTACCTGGGGGGAGGGGGGGAGGAAGGAGTGGTCATAGTTGACATCTGGTCTATTTTATTTCATTTATTTTTCCCCATGAGAAATGTGTTTATTGAATGACAATATTAGCAGCGATCAAACCGCTTTAGTAAACGGACTAGCTGAGAAGAGGATATGGAATGGGGCTAGAAATCTGCTGTGATCCAAATGCTTCTGGCAGGCAAGCTTTTGAATACGCACCCTAGGAAGCTGGAATTGCAAATGTATACCGCCCCCTTGTACCTGCCATTTAAGGTCAATTTTCTTAATCCATTTCTGCCCCTTAAATCATTGTTACCGTCTGAGAGTTGGACAAGTTATTTGAAACACATTGGGAGTGTTAGTTGTGGTCAAGTTTGGATGTAATAACTCGCAGACAAAGAAAATGTTATTCATGGACATGGCTAGGGTTAACACTCACATTGTTTTTTCCAACTGTAAGCTATAGGACGTCCAATGGATACTGACCCAAACATAAATGATTTTTACATTTACTCGATGCTTACTGTGAACATGAGAATAACAGAAAAGTGGGTGTCACGAAAGGGTTGTATTTATGCGCGCATCAGTGATTGCAAAGAAACTATTACTCATCTACTTAGATCTCAGTGATTGGCTAAATTCAAAAATTTACGGTACATATGCAGGAGCTTCAAAAGGTTCATGGATAATTTGCATCTTCCTTTAAATTCCGTTTGAAGGTGTTGAAGCTTCTTTGTAACATCATGGGTATTTTTAGGTTGTCTTGTTTTGTAACCTAACGAAGTGTGAGGGAATCTGACTTCCTGTTCATACGGAGTACATTTCTTCTCGGGAGAAATGTAAGGACAGAGCTCTCCCCGACTCCTGTGTCTTGCCCAGCTGTACACACTGCCAGGCAAGACTGTGCCGTGTGCAGCCGACGATGTTGTGGGGCTTACATTGAATGGGTGATTACTGGGTTTTGCTCGGGAGGCTGCTATGAGCATTGACTGGGACTGTGGAAAGGAATACAGAGGCCAAAGGGTTGTGACTTGTCGGGAAGAACTTGATCCAGGCTACAGTTTTCTTGTCTAGCAATGCCCACTTTCTTTCTCGGTCATGACTGTTTTACAAATGTCTGGGGAAAGTAGCTAGAGGTCTTGGAAAGAAAAATTCTGCTCATTATTTTGATAGATTTTACTAAAAAAAAAAAAAACAAACCAAACCGAAAAAAAAAACCAGGCGTGCCTCCCCTTGTGGGTGGGCAGTTTCTCTGGCACTGGCTGGGAATGCCTCCTCCTGGGTTACAATGGTTGATTTAGAGACACATCAGAGAAGGGCTGCCACTCCCCTCCCCTGCCAGCAGTCCTCCTGTCTTTGTTGTTTTCATTATAGTTTCATTCCCTTGGTTCTGAAAGTCATTTAATCCTCATAAAATGAGTCATAACTGTAAAAGCCGGACAATGAATAGCCTATTGATGAGCACGATTAGCTAATCACAGGCATGGGGGTCAAGCTAGGTGGGTGAATGGAGGGGAAAGATACATCACATGATGTGTGAGAAATACTTGTTAAATGGGAGAAAGACAAGGTCAAGGTTTGAAGTAACTGATGTTACATTTTACGTTAAGGACAATATGAACAAATACGGTTAAATCCATCTTTTGATCTTGTGAAACTACTTTTTCTACCAATTGCATGGAATCAGACTGTTTGTGCAAGGATGTCTAGCATGTTAATATCCAGAAATAACCTATCAGGAAGTGCTTGGCATACTCAGCAATCCAAAATGATACTGCCCATGTAAATGTGAAAAGTCATGACATTTTTCAGTGGAAAATAATGTAAAAAAAATTACCCATGACACCATTCAATTATTGTTTTTAAAATACATGCAAAGGCATTGTGAGGCAGAGGGAATTTAGGCCACTGCCTGCAATGCTGGCATTCCTTACGGGTACCAGTTGAAGTCTTGACTGCTCCACTGGCGATCCAGCTCCTTTCTAACGCGGCTGGCAGAGCAGAAGCAGAAGGCTCGAGTTCTTGGGCCCCTGCCACCCACATGGAAAATCGGGATGGACTTCCTGGCTCCTGGCTCAGGCCTGGCTATTGCTGCCATTCGGCAGTGAGCCAATGGAGAGAAGACTTCTTTGTCACTCCGCCTTTAAAATCAATTGAAATTTTTTTTAAACAGATATGCAAGTAAAAGAATAAAAGCGGTCTGCCAGTATTTATAATGAATTGTCTTAATGCAATGGCAAAGTTTGTCTTCTCTATCAGAGTGGTGGAAACATGGGTTTTCTAAAACAGTTTTCCTTATGCTTTGAATCTGAAAACATAAAGTTCTATATCTTAAACAAGAAAAAAAGGTAGAAGTAGTTAAAAAATTCAGTTTAAACACTTGAGCGCAACGTTTCCCAAGCAGGGACCATGGATGGCTCGAGCCTCAGCTGCACTGGGCTCTGAAATAGGAGAAGCAGCCCTGTGGTCCACACAATAGTCAGGGCATGGAGGGACTTCTCTCCCAAGCACCCCTTTCTTTCCTGGGTTCTCACTGCCTACTCTGCTGGCCCTTGGATGCCTCCTTGACTTCAACTTTATCATCCCCAGAACCTACCTGTCCTGCTGGTCTTTCCTGGTGGGATGCAATCTCTCTCTCATCTGCTATTCCATAGTTTCTCTCTCTCTGTCTGTCTCTCTCTGTGTCTCTTTCTCCTTCTCTCTCTCTTTCTCACCCTGTATTGTATGATGAGAGCACCTATCTTAGCTGTTTGCAGCACTGAAGCTCCTTCAGGCAGTGCCTCTGTCTTGCTTGTTGCTGGATGCCCCAACATCAGATCAAGGAAGGAATGAACAGATGAACTTCTGCAGGTTGCTAGCTCTTGTAACACCTACCTTGCTGATTATTTCTCAGCCATGTTGAAAAGTGCGCTCACATTTTATCTTGGCTTGGTCCTGACTCCAGCCACCCTTTGGTCGAGATCAGGTGCGAATGGTACTGTCTGACACTTGCAAGTACATGGCACGAGATAGGCTATCGTTTGACTTAGAGAAAGTAGAAAATAGAGCCCTACAAGCATGGACTGGTTCATTATAAGTTATTAGAAAGTAAAGGGGAGATGCAGAAGTTGCCACTGTAATACAACAGAAGATTACTCTGGCTACAAAAGATTACTTTAGAAAAGCCAAATGGCAGCAGATTTAAAGAGACCTGAGGAGGGAGAGCTTGCATGAGGACAACTGTGGAATACCAGAACGCTTATTCGAACAAGTTCTGAACACATAGCAGAAAAGTCCTTGTCTCTAAGTCCAGGAGGCAGGGGCTAAGAACTCTGCCATGCTAAGGAACTGGAAGTCCTTACCATTGTTTCTCTTCAGAAATAGCTTCCTGTATTTCCAACTTTTACTCTGCTTTTCCTCCAAGATGACTGTGTCTGGCCTGGAATGTCATAAAGCTCTTCTGGGCTCTCTGGACCCTTTGCTTACCACCTGCAATGACAACAAGAGGCATGCACTATGGTAAACTCAAAGATGGAGGCTGGTGGTACGAAACCACTACAGACCTGCATCTTGTGCACCTGCGGAGGAAGCAGCAAGTTCCATGAAGCGTTTCTTCACAGCAAACAGGGCATTTGAAATCACCAAGAATACAAACCAATGTTTACAGTTGTCAAACTCTCTCTTCTTTACCGTGACACATGTCAATGTCTTGATTACTTGCAATTTATAATGACCTACTAGAATATACTAGAGAGTAAGTTGGGAGCCAGGGTTGTGTTATAGAAGATAAAGCCACTGCCTGTGATGGCATATCCCCTCTGGGCACTGATCTGTGTCCTAGCTGCTCCATTCCCATCTAGCTCCCGGCAAAAGGAGGGAAAGCAGTGGAAGATGGCACAAACGCTTGGGCCGATTCCACCCCCATGGGCAACCTGGAAGAAGCCCGTAGGTTCTCGGCTTTGGCCTGGCCCAGCTCTGGCAGTTGTGGCCATTTGGGGAGTTAAACTAGCAGACAGAAGATCTCTCTCTCTCTTTCTCTCTTTCAAATGAATACATACTGTTAAAAGAAAAAAAAAGTAGGCCAACAGCCTCACATTTGTCATTAAGGGTTAGAAGGCCACCGTGTGTGGTCATGAACACGTCTCTGTGTCCCCTGTATGGGGTCTCTCAGTCTCTCTTGCTCTTCTCTAGGAGCCTCAGGGACACGTTGAGGACAATGAGGTACCCCGGGTCCAGGTGGTAGACAGTCTAGGTGGGATGCTGATGCAGGACACATCCCAGCAGAGCTGAGGAAGTGACCCTTGCAGGATGCAGGGCAGGATCAAAGGCTCAGAGGAAGAAAACAGCAGAGGAAAGAAAACTGGCCCTGCAGATGTTGTTGCAAAATCTCTACCTTTTGGAATGTGGATGAATAATAAACAACTGAGATCATGTTCCTAGGCCTTGAAGACAAAAAGCCAAAGCATGTCGCCCATCGTTATCATGATTTGAATGTGTGACACAGCCAAGCAGAAGCTAGCGCAGATAGTCCATCAAAATCATTGCTGTGGGGCCGGTATTGCAGGGCAATGGGTTAAGCAACCATCTGTGGTGCCGGCATCTACCAACGCTTTCAGTTGAGTCTTGGCCGTCCTGCTTCTGATCCAGCTCCCTGCTCATGTGCCTAGGAAAGCAGCTGAAGATGGCCCAAGGTTTGACTATCTGCATCCACGTGGAGACCCAGATGGAGTTCTGGGCTCCTGGCTCCAGTCTGGCCCAGGTCCAACCATTGTGGTGTGGATCGATGGATGATCTTTGTTGTCTCTTCCTCTCTGTCTGAAGTCAGTCTTCCAAGTAAATCTTAAGACTGCTGTTGCGAGCTTAGTCAAGTGAGGTTTCTCTAAGACTCAGCGCAGCCCTAGAATGCGCCACTAGTCAGCACCTGTGGTTTTCTGGGTTCATGCAAGTGACCCCAAAGGGCTGTCATCACTCCCCAGAGTATCTGCAGAAATGGCAGGTAGGTTTAGACATCACAGTTAAATCTGATACTCGATGTGTTTTTACTGAAAGCTGCCTTTAGGCCAGAGAACGCCAGGGTGGCTCAAGGCTGAGTAAGCTTACAAAACCGAAGAGTGACCTTGGGAGCAGTGCTACCAAGGGGCCCAGATTGATCTTGGGTGGCCTGAAATATAATGCTGTATTTTTTTTTTTGAGCTTGTGATCTAGCAAACAATGTCATCAGCAGTGTACAAGGATTCTCTCAGTCTTCACAACAACCCTGATGACAGCATTCTAATTCTTCTTTAATACTTAAAAAAAAAATTATGAGAGAGAGAGAGCAAGCTCAAAAGTGCTCCCATCTTTGGTTCATTTCCCCAGTGCTTGCAATGGCCCCAGGCTGCAGCCAAAGCCAGGAGCCAGGAACTCAGGCCAGGTCTCCCACATGGGTGGCAGAGAGCACATTCCTTGAGTTATCCCATGATCTGATCATGTCCACATGTGCAGGAAGCTGGAGGGAGGAGCTGGGAGTTGAACGCTGGTGCTCCAATGTGGGATGTGTCTTAAGGGAAAGCTTGATGGTAGGCTGATGCTTGCTGCTGTAGTAAGTTTTATTTTGCAAAGGAGACATTGAAGTTCATTGAGGCTAACTGCTCCCAAATCACGCAGTCACTGGAGGGCTTGGCCTTGAACCAGGCTCCCTGATGAGCTCTTTCAACCCCCTTCTGTCCTCTGCCAATACCTGATTTTAGAAAGGGTATTAGAAGGATATTGACATCAGTATGAATATTCACCAAGAGGCAGTCTGGTGTAGGGGTTAGGGCCGTGGGCCTTGCAGGATCTGAGTGGTGCCTGCATCTAACTGCACTTTCAACCCTTCTGTGTCTGTGTAGGGTACTGGTCACAGATACCCAGATCTCATGCGTGGGATCTGAAATGATGGATACAAAAACATGTGAGTTTCCTGCTGCTGGCTGCAGGATCCCCTGCTCACTCTGCTCCCAGCAGAAGTGCAGTGGGAAAGGGTGAAGAAAGGTGTGAGATGTCTGATAGGAGTAGGGAAGTTGATTCCAGTCCTGCTTTTCTGCTAGTTGGTGGTCAGATTCCTGTGCTTTGAATGAGATATAGCTCCTCAAACTCTTGTAGATCCTCAAACCCTGGTTAGAGTTAACTGGCACTAAGAGGGTACAGAGTTGATCCAACCAAGCTGTTTAGGAGTTGGGTCTTTAGATTACTGGAAGGCAATTCTCTCCAGTGGGTTGCTTTTAAAAACCAGAGTTGGACCAGCCTCCTTGCCTGCTTCTTTGCTCACTGTACAATCCTTCCATCACTACCAGAGGCCAAACCCATGGACCATCCAATCCTGTACTTGGACCTTTCCATCTATGAGCTAAATCAATATTTCTTTTTATAAAGTGAGGTCTCTCATTGGAGTGAAATACATGGCTGCCCTGTACTGCTAGTGGAAGGTACCAATTGCTAGGAATGGTGACAGAAGCCACCTGCCTGGAACTCATCCAGTCTGTGGTCCTCACTTCCCTTGTCCCTCACCTTCATCCCTTTCTTTCTCCCAGTTTTTACCTTCACTGGATCCGCTGCCAACAACCTTGGCCGGGAGAAAATTTGGGAGAGACATTCCTGGCATCTTTTTCTATTGCAAGGGAATGGAAATCACTTCAACATCTGCCAGCGGCTTGAGAGAACAGGGTCCTTATCGCTGGAGTGCAGCATTCTAATCCTCAAGCCACCTGCTCCCAGCCGGCATTCCCTGGGCTCCTGCTGGTAGGAGCTGGGGCAGCTGTGGAGGCAGGGCACCTTTCCCTTGCCAATTCTGACTTCAGAGTGGCTCTCAGAACATGCTCTTTCCAGATTGGTGGCAGCAAGAGCCACCTCTTTCTGGCTTCTGTTGTCTGTCTTCTGCACTAGTGGCTGCTCCTTTGGAAACCCCGTGGAAGCATGGGTGAAGGAGGATTAAGACCAGCCAGAGAACAGGTGGAAGATCTGATTGGGAGATGACAGCGATGAACTTTGCTTTAATCAATGTTTACTGATTTGTCATCTATTCTGAACAACTTTGGGACTATTTCGTGAATTATTTAAAATAAGCATCTTTTAAAAAATATTATTTTGAAAGGCAGAGGCATGGGGATGGTGCCCTGCAGCCCTTGTATACTCTATGGGTGCCAATTTGAGTCCTAGCTCTTCCACGTACGATCCAGCTCCCTACTAATGTGTCTTGGAAAGCAGTAGAAGAAGGTGTAAGTCCTTGGGCCTCTGCCCCCACATGGGAGATCTGAAATTCCTGGCTCCTGGCTTTGGCCTGGCCCAGCCTCAACTGCGGGCCATTGGAGAATGAATCAGCAGATAGAAAAATCCTTCTCTCTCTCTGTTTTTCCCACTCTCTTATCTCTGCTTTCGAAATAAATTACTTAATCTTAAAGGAAAAAGAAAGGCAGATGAACACATTAGAGAGGCTGGTTTACTCCTCAAATGGCCGTAACAGCTGGAGTGAGGCCAGAGCCAGGGAAGCTGAAACACAACCTGGATCTTCTTCTTTTTTTTTTTTTTTTCATTTTTTTAAATTATATGTTTACATAGTTAATTAGGGTAAAAAGTTTCAAGGGCTACAGGAAAGTAGGTAAGACTATTATTTCCACATTGTTTCCTTCATGTATCTGAGGTAAAGGGGGATATTAAAGGAGAAGCTCCACCCAGTCTCCCACCCATCCCAGGTCCCAGATGTGCGGCATGCTCCGAGGGTCCTGCTCAAGTGGTTTGATAATTCAACAGTTATGAATTGCTGCAAGTCTCGCCACTCCAAGCACAATAAGGTCTTTGAAGAATCCACTGGTTGACATAGTCCATCATAGAGTCTCCGTTTGCCAGTTTTTCGCTGCCAACATATGGCTGAGGTGGTTGACTGACTTGTTTTCCCTTTTGTCTTTTCATGGTTAGGGTCCTGAGTCTGGCAGTTCAATTGGGGAGATCCCCAAAGAAACTTTGAAGTGTTCTCGGACCAGATTCTTTTACGTGCTAGCAAGTACAGGGCCCGGCACAGTGCTGGGTTGGTTCTGTTTCCAGCCCCGACTTCCACTGTAACCAGTGGGTGTTGCAGTCCAGCCTGGTTCTGCCCAGCACACACTCGGCCCTCACATAAACCAGTGAGAGCTGCAGCCTAGTCAGAGCAACCCACACTAACCCCCACCAGGCTCGCCTCCTATCCTGGTTTGCCAGTATGTGTAGCAGACTAGTCCAGTCTGTCCCACATCCCATTCGGCTCTCGTACGCAACCTGGATCTTCTATAGAGGTGAGAGGGACTTAAGTCCTTGGGCTATCACCTGCTGTATCCCAGGGTGTGCATGAGTAAGAGACTGGAAATGAGCCAGGACTGGAATCCAAGCACTCTGGCGTTTGCAACACTTTGTCAAATATTTGCCCCAAGGAAGGTCTAGTTTAATATGAAGGTACTTGAAAAATTTTGTGGAAAACATTTGAGGGGTGAGCAACATTTAGTTTAGCATTTTGGATTGCCTGTGTTCTGTGTTTGAATGCCAATATTTGAGATTCAACTTTGTTCTTAATTCCAATTCTTCTTGCACTCTGGTGAGGAGCAGGTGAGGGCTCATGTGGTTGAGTCCCTGCAACCCACACAGGAGACCTGGAGTGAATTCTTGGCCCCTAGCTCTGAAATGGCCCACGTCTGGCTGTTGTAAGTATTTGAGGTTAATGCAGATCCCAGAAGGTGCAAGGCACTTGGCTTAATCAGTTGGGTTCCTGGCACCCACACGGGAAGCTCTTGGCTTCAGCCCCCTATCTAGCCCCAGCCATGTGGGAACTTACTCCAGTGGATCGAGTTCTCTACATCTGTCTCTCAAATAAGTTGAAGAGAAACCCAAACTGTACTTAAAAGCTAAATTTATTTTGATGTGATAAGGTTTTAAAACACATGAATGGTGGCCTGTGTCGTGACGAAGCAAGTCAGGCCACCTCCTGCAGCACCGGTATTCTATAAGAGCACTGGATTACACCCTGGCTGCTCCACTTGTCATCCCAATCCTTGCTAATGGCCTGGAACAAGCAATGGAGGATGGCTGAGTATTAGGTTCCCTGCCACCCTCATAGGAGACCTGCTACAAGTTCCTGCCTCCTGATTTCCTGGCTGTTGTAGACAGTGGTGGAAGATCTCTGTGTCTCGCCCTATCTTTTTGAAATAATTGTAAAATACACACATCTTTAAAAACAAACTGATGGAGTTTTTAAAAATAAAACACATTTTCCATGGATTTTCAAAATTTTTCAAATTGTAGTCCAAAATAAAGGCATCTTTAATTCCATTTTATATGAATTTTGGTTAGTTCCCTAATATATAGCACTTAGCTTAAGTGCATCTTAAGTCTCCTGACTTGTTTCTGAATGAAGTACTGGAAAGCCATCCTTGATCTCTCTTATCCTTGTCTGCTGGAGGACTCCATGGCAGTACTGAGGGCAATACACTGGAAAAATGAGGGCTTTCCAGTGCAGGGTGTACAGAGCTGTTGGCTACCAGTGTTTTCACCGGGGTAGGGTTCACTGGCGTTTGTCTTGAGTTTTGGATATTCTTGCTTGGGATTCACAATCATCCCGTAGCCTAGATTTCATTCTTTTTTTTTTAAAGATTTATTTTTTATTTGAAAGAGTTACAGAGAGGAGGACACACACAACACACGATGGTACCATGGTGTACATGATGAGCCAGGTGTAGAGAGATTTGGAAAGCAGACTTGGCAGTGCTTGGTGATGGTGTGACCTGGTGGGAGTTGTTAAGGTTGCTAAGGTTGACTCCTGGGATTTTCTTTGGGGGTTCTACATGAAAGGGAGGTGCCTTGTAATGTATCAGGAAAACCTGAAGACAACTAGCTTTGAGGGGAATACAACGGGTTTAGGTTAGAATAATGGGGGTCCAAGTACATCTGAGATATTTTCATGGAAACATCGGTAGGTAAGCAGACCTGTGACTCTGATGTTTGGCATAGATGATGATGGAGTCACCTTCGAGGTTGTGATCACAGTTCAACCCCGTAAGCCGAATGTGGGACCTCTTGTCTGCACCTATCTTGACGAATCTACTTTTGTTAACGGCACCACCATTTTTCCATCCTCAGATCTAAAATTTTCTTCTTTGGAAAAATCTGTTGCCTCTTTCCCTTAAGACAACAAGAACAACAACAAATCCCAGTTGAGGCCTCATTAGACACCATACCTGGCCATTGGTGCTAAGACTTCACTCCACCACGACTGTGTTCTCCGTGCTGAGGTCTGTATCCAAGATGGTCCCTCTTGGACACAGAGCAGGGCTCCCTTGGAACTCCTGGGAGAGCCCTCATTGGCCAGAGCAGAATGTCTCAGCACCTTGTGGAAGGCAAGACCTCCTGTGTTCCGATCCCTTAGCTATGCTGCCACTTTCTGCTCTCCTAGAGTAGCCTTCTCAAAAACTCTTTGTTCATCTAGCATGTTTTGCTCAAACAAAAACAAAACAAAACAAACAAACAAACAAACAAGCAAAAGCAACCAACAAACCATTATAGCTCCTCAAAGAAGGCCTTGGAGAGTGGGGTTTGGGGTTGTAGTGGGGATTGAGGTCCTGGCTGGGTTTCCCTGCATTTCCTTGTTTCCATTCTTACCTGCTGAGGCCTCCAAGAGGAGTCTCTTCTGAATGTAACTGGAAAGCCAGCCCCTTCGGGAACGTTCTCAGAAGCAGGAGGTGTCTTCCTCAGTGAGCAAGTGGGTCACAGAATCTTGCGTGTTTCCCTCCACTGGGCCTAAGGTCCTCCTTTCCTCTGGCTACTTTCTTCCCAGGCAGGGATCTTACCTCACAAAAGTCACCCCTGTGATGTCACTGACCTCAACTGCCACACCCACAAATCCAGTGGAGGAATCACACTGCTTCTTGGAGTGGCACTGGAGAAGACAAGGGTGTCTCCATAGGTCCCAGCTCTGGAAAAGCATTTTTTTGTTTGTTTTTAAAAGGCGGATTCACAGAGTTGGAAAGGGAGAATGATCTGCTGTTTCACTCCCCACATGGCAGCAGTTGCCTGAGCCAGGAGCTGTACTGGGTCTCCCACATGAATTTAGGGTCCAAAGGCTTTGGTCCATCCTCTGCTGCTTTCCGAGATTGTATGTCAGGGACCTGGATGGCAAGTGGAGCAGCTGGCACTCGAGTTGTTGCCCATATGGGATGCCAATGCTTTCAGGTGAAGGATTAGCCAAGTGGGCTATTGTGCCAGACCCAAGCAAAGCAGTTTTACAGGCAATTTGATCAAATTTGACCAAGATTTTCCCTGAGCAAACCTGGGAGATGGTCCTGTGGGTCCACTGTGTTGGCATTCATCCCGTACTGTCTCATAGGAGTGAGCAGTAGCATTGAAAGTGCAGAAGTTTGTAGGGTCTGTCTTACTTTAACAGATGGCATTAACCAGTGGGGCACAAGTTTTCACCTGGTAGAGGGAAATTTGAGTCTGAGACTTAAACATGAAGTTATAGCTAGGTTGGTATAAGCTTGAGTCACTCCAATAAGGAGATAGTTGGAGCTGGGAAGGGGTGAGGTTTATTATGATTGTGTATTTATCTAAGTCTTAAGCCAGGAAGTCAGTCCAGGTCTCCAATGTATGGAGCCATCACTGCCGCCTCCCAGGGTGTACATCACAGGGGGCTGGATTCAGGAGTGGAGATGGGTCTTGAGCCAAGGTACTCTGACATTGAAGACCAATCCTGAGGAAGAAAGGAGAATGGCTTTTTTTCTCCTTATTTTTTTTAAAGATTCATTTATTTTTATTGGAAAGTCAATATACAGAGAGAAGAGACAGAGAGGAAGATCTTTCATCCATCGATTCGCTCCCTAAGCAGCCGCAATAGCCAGAGCTGAGCCGATCCAAAGCCAGGAGCCCAGAGTCACTTCTGGGTCTCTCACATAGGTGCAGCATCCCAAGGCTTTGGGCTGTCCTCTACTGCTTTCCCAGACCACAAGCAGGGAGCTAGATGGGAAGCAGGGCTGCCGAGATTAAAATCAGTGCCCATATAGAATCCTGACACGTTCAAGCTGAGGACTTTAGCTGCTAGGCTGTTGTGCCTGGCTCGCTCCTCCTTTTTTTTTTTTTTCAAAGATTTATTTTTATTAATTTGAAAAAGAGTGATGATGAGAAGAGACAGGGATCTTCAATTTGCTAGTTCATTCCCAGTTGACCACAATTCCCCAGATGACCACAATGGTCAAACCCAAGAGCCTAGAACTTTTCCAGGTCTCCCATATGTGTGCAGGGGCCCAAGCACTTGGACCATCTTCCACTGCTTCCCCAGATACAAAAGCAAGGAGTTAGATAGAAAGTGGAGCAGATGGGATTTCAATCGGTTCTCACCAGCAAAAGCACTGGCTTAATCCACTGAGCCATGGTGCTCATCTGAGTGGTTTTTCTGAAATATCCATCTTCAGTGTCCAATAGAGAAGAGTAAAGGACGTGGAAGATGTGGCCAGAACAGTACAGAAGAAATTGAAGTACAAGTTCACTCTCTGAAGGTGGAAGAGCTTCAAGAAAGACAGAGTGAACAGCGTAGATGATACTGCCGACTGCAATTTTCTCTTCACTGTGGAAGAATTGTATTTCATTTTCAAAGACAAAGGAAAGCTTTGCTGAAGCTGAAGCTTTTTATTGCTTTTAGAATCTGGAATATGTCACACCATTCTCTTCTGGCCTGTAGAGTTTCCTATGAGACGTCTCCTGAGAGTCTGACTGCCATTCTTATGTATATCAATTGATTTTTCCTCACGTGCGCATTTAAGGATATTTTCTTTAAGTTCAATTGAAGAAGCTTGATGATAATGTGTCATGGTGAAGATTACCTGTTGGCCAAGCCTGTTGGGAGTTCTGTGCCCCTCCTGGATGTTGTTTCCCAACTCTTTCTCTAGATTAGGGAAATTTTTCCTTAATATTTCATTGAGTACACCTTTAGTCCCAGCTTCTCTTTCTGCACCTTTTGGGACTCCCATAACTCTTATATTTGGCTTTTTAATAGTGTCTTTCAATTCTTGACTACTTTTTTTTAGCTCGACCCAGCTCTGCTTCCAGCTTTTTGATTGTTTTCCCCTGGTGACAAGAAATATCTTCCAATTCTGAGATTCTTTCTTTCTGCCTCATTCATTCTATTTTGGAGATTCTTCTCTGTACTTTTAATTTGCTCCACTGTATTCTTCATTTGTGATATATCAACTTTCATTTAACTCATTTCCAGTGTGACATGTTCCTTAAATTTCTTGATCCTCCTGCATTACTTGCTTCTTGATGTTGGTAAGTTTTATAACAAGTGTTTTTGAAGACTCCTTTGCAAGAGCCTTCAGTAAAATTCATTGAGCCTTTGTTTCTTCTTTTGCTCTTGGTCACTGTACTTCTTGTTAGTAGAACTTTCTCCTTGGGGGCAGGTTTCTAAGATGTATCACCCACAGGTTTACAATTCGATTTTACTTATTGTGGTTGGTATATGGCTTTTTGTTTGCAGTCACTTGTGCCACTCCCTCTGCGACCTTCCCGTGTCTGTCAGTCTCCAGGTACCCTTCTGCTGTCATTCCGTCCTCTCCTCTTTCCTGGAATGTGTCCTCTCTGCTTCATAGTGGCTAATGTTTCTCTGTTTAAACATGTTCTCACCCTGTTCCTCCATCTTGAGTCTCCCTCCAGTAGCATGTTATCTAACTTCATGGTGTTGTCAATTTCTACTTTTCTTCCTGTTGTTGATTTTGTTTTGTGGCTTTTCATTTAAGGGGATGTATAGTAACTGTGTCATGGAGATTATCATATCCAGATGTGAGGATACAATGCAGTATGCATCTCTACTTCCAGATCAAAGACGGACTCCCAGTGAAAATTTTGATTATATCTTGACAACAGGATGCAGAATTTTCTGTCATTGTCCATGTCTGCAATGATGGACTTATGTCTGTTCATGAAGAACAATATTATTGTCATAATATAAGGGAACTCAGTGGTGAGTGGAGTGGACTTGAGGGAGGGCTTAAGGGAACTCCAGGGCCTATGGAACTGTATTGTAAAATAATAATAATAAAAAAAACCCAAACTACTTATTTTGAAAGTTAAAGTAATGGGATGGGGAGGGTGGAGAGAGAAAAAAAGAAAGAGGGAAAGAGAGAGAGATATCTTCTATCTGCTGGTTCATTCCTTAAATGTCTGCAATGACCAGGGTTGGGTCTGACCAAATCCAGGAGCCAGGAATTTCATCTGGGTCTCCCATATCAGTGGCAGAGGCTAGACACTTGGGCCATCTTGTGTTGATTTTTTTCAAGCCACTAACAGGGAGTTGGATGGGAAGGAGAGTGGCTACAACTGGTAGGGTGCTGAAATGGCATACCGGGCTCACAGGCGGTGATGTCACCTGATAAGCCGTAGTGCCGACCGCCTATTTGTTTATCTGATAGAGTTAACAGAGAACGAGACAAAGGTCTTCCATCTACTGGTTTACTGCTGAATGGCTTCAACACCTGAGGCTGGACCAGGCTGAAGCCAAGAGCTCCATCCACTTCCGCCATGTTGCTTTCAGGAACTCAAGTTCTTGAACCATCATTTACTGCTTCCCAACATTAGCAGGAAGCTGGAGAGGAAGTGGAGGAGTCTGGACTCAGATTAGCACTGTGATAGATGTTGTGCTAAGTGCAGCTCAATTGGCTGTGCCACAACGCAGGCCTCTGTAACACACCCTTTTTTTAGCCCGAGTTACCATGCTACACAGAAGAATTTCAGAACCCCTTCTTCCTATCTTACTGAACTTCATACCCACTGTCCTGTCTCCCCCTTTTTCATTCATGCACCATCATGTCCTCATCACCAGCTTTTGTTTAAGACTTGTAGCATCTATTGATTTTTTTCAGGAAAAAATGACAAGTAGTGATGCTCTAATTTGTCGTTCTTCCCATGTTTTTTTTTTAGCTAGCATTCATCCACAAAGTAGAATAAGTGGTTACTTCTTTCCTTTAATTGTAATCTTCAGCACCAGAAATGAGTGAATAGTTCCTGTCTTTCACTGTGTCATTACATTTTGAAAATGTAATCAATGTGATTTTATTCAGTTACACTTTTTTAGCATGCAAATTTCCAAATAGCAGCTGGTGTCATGGCTCAACAGGCTAATCTTCCACCTACAAGCACTGGAACTTTATGTGGGCACTGGTTCGTGTCCCAGCTGCTCCACTTCCCATTCAGCTGCCTGCTTTTGGTGTGGGAAGGCAGTAGAGGATGGTCCAAGTCCTTGGGACCCTGCACCTGAATGGGAGACCTGGAAGAAGTTCTTTGTTTACAGCTTTGGGTCAGATTAGCTTCACAATTGAGGCCATTGGGGGAGTGAACCAGCTAATGGGAGATCTTTCTGTCTCTTTCTGTAAATTTGCCTTTCCCATCAAAATAAATCCTAAAAAAAGTTTCCCAAATGTATCCAATAGGAGTTGTGTTGAGCTGGTCTCTGGGCCCTTTTGACAAGTCTGGTAACTTTGGACATTTCCTTAGCTTTCGTCACAGTGTGTGGGAATCATCTTCTATGTTCCTTGGCTCAAGTCGGGATGAGCCTTTTCTCCTTACGGTGCTGCAGTTACTATCATTGGAAAAATGGTATTTAGTTCCCAAAGCTGTGTTTTGTGGCACTCATGACTACTGGGTTTACTTGGTGGCCAAACTTCAGCCCTCCCATTGGGCAGAAGGAAGAAATACATATATTTAGAAGAGAATGAGTTTGTAATGTCATTTTCAAATTGAAGAGTTTAACATTGCATTTTTCTTGACCTTCAGA